CTACGTTATAAATACTGAGAAGGTACTCAACTGGCAGATAAAACAACGTCGTCAGCTTGACATCAAAGTTAGAGCCAGTGCTCCTCCATATTAAAGCTGGGGTCTGACTCGGGTATCTCCCAGGTGTATTTCTGGCATATTCTACTGAGAGGAGGCTCCAGGGTGGATCCAGGGCATGCTGGTTAGATTACATCTCTTACCTGGTTTGGGAACACCTTGTCCTCCACCTAGAATAGCTGGAGATAAATAGCTGAGGTAGCTGTGGGTGTGTCTGCATGGACCTGGATATGCAGCCGAAAATGAAAATGTCGATTTAATATCAATAAGTAGAAAAATGCTGAATATTGGCCCCAATAATTGGCCTAACAGTACCACTAGCTTTATCTGATTTAGATATCGATTTACTTCCAGGGTTTTCTAATGCAACACAAATAAAAAGCAGACTAATGGAATAAAGTTCACCGATGTTCTTGGAGTTGGTCTGTAATTGGACCTGTCGGATAAATAAAGCAGCGATACCTCAGCATCTCTGAAACTGAATTACCGCCTCTGTGCAGCGACTTTAATGTGATCTTTGATTATCCCAAACAAAGCGGGCAGGTTTTACTTTGTGTGGATATTTTGTTCCTCAGCCAAGAAGGAGGAAAAAGGTTGCTAAGAAACATCATCCGGTGTTTCTGCGATGCTACTTTCAGGTTCAGCGTTGACATTTGTCTAAAAATGATATTTCCTACTGTTGTGTTCACACCAACAGTGATAATATCTTTATGAACGCACGCGTGCATGTGTAGGCAGCGAGCACTCTGCTTGTTATCAGAAGCTTTGCGGTTTCCTACTGTTGTCTGCATTAGGATGTCATATTTAAGTAGACGTGATGAATGTTGGTGTTTATGAGGGAGCACGCCTCTGCCACATGCTTTATGACAAATATAATGGAGCGACGAGGCTGCGCAGTTTATTTAAAATCAAAATTTAAAGAAAAGGATGACTTCGCGCTCTTGTTTCGTCGTTTACTTTTGGATTTCCTTTACAGCTGTATGGTTTTGCTTAGCCCCGCCCCCCTCCCATCAGCTACGGTGGGTTTATTTCAGCTCAAGACAACATGACAGGAAGAGAGAACGATATGTGTTTAGTGTAAGCAGCTAATGTGGCCAACAATAACATCTGTTGGCTTCTCTTCTACTTTCTGTGGTCACATGAATGACATTTTAATGCAACCAGATTCACAATAAAGCCATTCTCGCTTACATACTTTGTGTGTTTCTTATCCAACAACAGTGCTTAGCATGAAATAATGGCAGTCACCTCCTGTCAACACTAGAATGACTATTTGGATAAAAAGTTTGAAGTCACATGAGGCTAAAGTTTCCTGTTCTTTAAGCAGTGTTTATGAATACTTCTCCAGGCTTCTTAAAGGACATCCAAAGCTTTTTTTTTTTTGGATGCTGGCTTTTGTTCTGTTCTCTGTCAAAATGATCCCACACAGTGCTTTAATATTGTTGAGGTCCAGGCTCTGGGAAGGCCAATCCATGACTGTTCCACTTTGCAATTTTATCCAGGTATACTCCATTGACAGTGTGTTTGGGATCATTGTGATGTTTAAAAATGTAGCTGTGACCAATCGCAAGCGTTCCTGATGGTATTGCTTAGAGTCTGCATCGTGTTTTATAGATAGCTGTAAACCGGGGGTGGCCAACTCCAGGCCTCGAGGGCCGGTGTCCTGCAGGTTTTAGATGTGTCCTCGAAATAAATGCAAAAGAACCAAGTTTTGTGTAAATACTGTGGTGTTATTCTGGCTTTTGGAATATAATTTAGAAAACTAATTGTTCAACAGTTATGGCTGAAGCATGACAAAGGAAATTTTAATAGGTGCAATTTCCTGTTTTTTAAAGCTCCTCACTGTGTGATGAGGTGTCAGTGTGTGAAATTGGAGGTAGTGGTAACGCACACATCAGTCACACTCCTGGCCCAAATACTCTCCGACTGCCTGTTTGGTCTAGACAAAAAAAAGAGTGCACATCCTCTGCAGATAGCCATTTTAAAAATGTGAGAGAAGAAGCTAAAGCTTTAAAGTGGTTGTTTCCACTGGTTAATCTTTAACTGGCCAATAAAAATCCACCACACACAGCTTACAGGATGCAGTTCCTTGTTTGCTCAGGCTGACTGTTTCGATCTGTTTGCTTTTCTTCTTGGTTGGCTCATGTCCACTGAAGGGTTTCGTTTGTAACACTTCCTCCTGCTGCGCTTTCTTCACGCACAGCCTGCTTTTGCTGATTCTTGTTTTCTCTCAGGAGTGTATACAAATGTGTTGAGTTTTAGTTAAACATTATTTTTTCTTGTTTCCAGTAAACAGACTACTTTCCTCCCCTCCCCTGTTGTCTATATTTTAAGCTAAATAACTGAGAAGGTGTCAGAAATGGCCATGTCCCCCCTCCGGATTCTCCTTTTCTCTCACATGATGTCATTTTTCTCCTATCTTTTCCTCTCACCCGTTTCCAATTATAGCTCAGCCTCACACCAGCTTCCCCAAGACAAAGGAGGAGAGCTGATTAAGTTTAATTTAGCTGCAGCTGTTAAATGGGAAGGCAGCTTTAGCAGATTGTTCACATTTGGCGAGCGGAGCCTTAAAGCTGGCAAACAAAAAGGCTGAACATCTCAAATATGTGAATGGGTGTGTCTGAGGAGTGAGAGGGTTTATTTACTCTGGTGTTAGATCACAGTTGTAATGCGTGTTCAGCGAGTCTGCAAACTCAGAGATGGATTCGTGGAACAATCGGGATTCAGGTCAGCTGCATGTGAACAGTTTGGCTTTTTGAAGCGATCAGATCCTGAGATAAAGCTGCGCAGATGTCCACATGACTCACATTTTGTTCTGCAACAGTGTGATGGGATACTTAGCTGTTCACTCCACCTTTGGACTGAGCGTGTGCAAAGGAGGGTTTTTTTTCCTGTAGGCTAGAAATGGAGGGGGAAAAGTGGAAAAACAAAAGTCCAGCAGTGTTTGATGTGGCGTCAGGCTGTCCAACTCCCTCCAGGTTTCTCCACCCAGCTTTGTACTGCTGTATGTTGACACACTCAACTTTCCAACAAAGCACTGATGGTCAGGAAGTGGGAGAAATATTGAAGTCTTAAGGGCTCAAAAAAGAAGGCAGCTGGACTGCTTCAGGGTGACTTCACAAGACTGCCACGACCTGGATGACTGAGCAGCTCCAAAGACGAGAAATATTAAACTAAACTATTTTCTTTCCTTTCTAGTTTGGCAGCATTCATAACATATAGATACATTAAACTCAGCTGCTTGTAAAGCTAATTTCTTGCGTGTGCTTTCACTATTATGATCTGACAACAAGAACTGTAAGCTCTTACATCGTTCTGTTGTGTCCAAAACAAAAATGGATATAGATTTAAAGAAAATCATGTACTCTCTGGGCAATATTTACTTTAATTTTGTATATATTCATTTTGTTTTCTTTTTTCCTTTAAAAACTTTAGTGCTGTAAAAATGAGAACAGTAGCATTTTGAGACTTTGATCTTGGTAATACTTAAAGATGGAGCAGGTTTTGGGTTTAACATGAAACAAAGGCAGATATGAAATGTAAAAGTGAGATCAGATCTGACCTATTTGGATGCAAACTGTAATGTGATATTTGGTTTTGTCATATATCAGTCATTTCCTAAATGCTGACAATACAACGGCAGTTTAACTCGAACCCTTTATGTGAACCGCACATCTTGGCAGAGGGGATTTTTCGGCCTGTGTTCAGACTGCAGTACGTTGTGAATGGTTTGCGTTACTGTGATACGCCGAGTATCCCCGAAAAGCTCGTTTTCACTTCCTTCTGAAAACCAATTTAATTTTGTCTCTACCAGAGAGGGTAACAGAGGTACAGTCGTTTAAAAAGGGTTTGTGAAACGGGCCCGCTGATGGATTCAAAAAAAAAAAAAAAAAAAAGGGTTAAGCATAGTTTATAAGACATTTTGCGAAAGTTTGACCTTATTTGACCTTGAAGAAGAGGTCAGACGTCCAAAGTAATGTGGTATTTAGGATCGCCACATATCATTCCCTGTATCCCCAATCTGATTTACCAAAAAAATACAAAGTAGAAAAGTGGCATGTGTGGGCTTCTTTAAAACATGTATTTTAAGGGCAAACACTGTGATAAATGGCTAACAGCATGGCTGACAAGGCAGTAACCAGCGCGGTTTCAGTCATTTTCCTCCTCACGAGACGAGCATTAACCCTGCGCTGGCGATAATGCTCATCTCAGCCGTCCGAAATGAGCCTCCAGAAAGCAGCGGGTGATGTCACCGTAGCCTCATCCATCTTTCCCCTCTCTGGGGACTGAACTCTGCGATGTGAGCGAGAGGGGGGGACATCGCTCTCACTTAGCTTTTTTTTTTAATTGGTGTCAGTTTGTAGATGCTGCTTCTTTTTCTCGTCCTGCTGTTCTGCATCAGTCTGGTTCCCATTTACAAACTGAGTCCTCCCAGTGCTCTTTAAAACTCAACGGTACTATCGTGTACCGTCTCCCCCTCCCCCTCTTCACACTGCACTGTTTTTGTGAAGAGCATTGTCACACCAGTGTGTAAAATACGTTGTAAAAAGAGCACACAAACACACTGGCAGTTTATTCCTAGCTGATTGTGGCTACCATGTGGTAAATGGTCAGAAAGTCTTTGGTCATCTGCAGGGCTGTTATTTCACAGACCCACACAGTGAGTTTTCCTCTGGTCGAGGGTGGGGGCAGGAAGTCGGGGGAGGGGTCACCTCGGGTCAAAGCAGAGCTGCAGGAAAATGCCTCGGTGACCGCACTGAAGCAAGAAGCTGAATGCCTGAACGCACCATCCCACAACACACAAGACTGCAGTGGATTATGGGATGTTATAGATTGCAAAATTTCAGTAATTAGGTGTCCTCTCTGTTTAGTCTCAAATATTCAGACCCAATAATTAAACTTTCTGAAGAAGCTAAACTTTTTTTTTTCTCTTCCTCTTTCAGGACTCTGAAATCGCTACAGATTGCAACCATGTAAGTGTGTGGGTTTTTTTTTCTTCTCTCTCTACCCTCACACTCCACCTCCTAGCATGCACTATGATGTCTTATAATTTTATGACGCAATGATTTTCCACTAAAAGTATGCACAAGTTTTGTAATGATTCATATAAACAACCGATAGCCAACATCGGTACTACTGCATTTTTCCCCCCCCCCGCTATCCAGAAGTTTGCCTCATTAATGAATGTCTGTCACATTAAATAACAGAAAGACTTTATAAAATAAAATGATTGACAATGTTGTTTTTATTTTTTATTTGTCCTGTTTTTCTTTCTTGGGTTTTTTCTCCACTCTGTCCTTATTGGTGTAATTGTCATACCTCGTATCTTCTCTCCCCCAGCTGCTGTGGAACTATAAGCTGAACCTGACCACAGACCCAAAGTTTGAGTCTGTAGCGGTGGAGGTCTGCAAGACGACCATCTCTGAGGTCAGTCGCTAAAAACAAATCTCTGCAGCTCAACTTGATGGTCTTCATTCAAGCCTCCAAACGGTTAAAAGAACATCAGATAAACTGGCAAATTTAGAAGTTTTAAGACTGCTGTGATTTTGGAGTAGACTTAAAAATCAGGAACTAGAGCTGTCAGCACAATGTTAAGAAACTGCAGCCAGTTTTTATGTCCAAAATGTCGAAGAGATGTCAGAGGAATCGGGGCCGGGGCTGGTCGGTACTTATGTGTAATACTACAAGGTGGTGGAGTTAGTCAGTGTAACCTTTATTGACCAGTTAAGTCATTAACCCTTTAAAACCGGTCGGAGCAGCACGCTCTGTTTTGCGTAACTATTTTTAAATCCTTGTAGAACTGGAACCACGTAAGCTAGCGCAATAATTTTTTTGCATATGAAACCGGAGGAGTTGTACTTACATCTTATGGCATCAGCTTGTCCTCGGTCACGGTTTCCTTCCACATATGGCTTTGCAAAAACTGCATAAAAACCACTTGCAGCAACAAAAATATAATATTCCAGAAACACACTTTGCCGATCCGATCAGCTGTTCAAAACACTTCCTACATTGGAATAGACGTCAGCGCGATCTATCGCATTTCCGCCATTACTTGCCAGAAACCGGAAGTGACGTCATTTTCGCGGAAAATGTAGGTTTTTTTTTTTGGTTTTTTTTTTGTTTTTTTACCACCTTCGGGGCATTATAAGCCTATACTGGTGTTTTTAAAAGGTATGTTTGACTTTATGCTTTTCTGAATAGTTTCTGGGATGTTTAGAACTCATATTGCACTGCTGGAAACAGTTTATTTTGATGCATATGCTGGGTTGTTTTTTTTTTTTTTTTTTTGCAAATTTGCATTATAATATTTATTTTAGTTTTTCCTGCATTATATAAAAATTGGTGTATCTCAAAAATAAAACTATGAAGACCATCAAAGTAAATTTCCTGTTGTTGGAAACTATTTTGTGCAACTTTTTTGTATTTACAGTTTTGAGGGATAAACCTCTTAAATTTCTCTAACTAGAAATATATGTTAAAAAACCAAAAACGATTTTCAATTTTTTGTACTTTATTGCACTTTTTTGCACTTTATGTAGTTTCTATGGACTCAATGCATACATATTCTTAAAATTTGGGCTATAACCGTTGTATTGATGTATTGCAACTTGAAATGCTCCCTCAAATGGCTCCACAGCATGTAAAAATATAAAGATAAGCTCTGGCGGACTTGGTTCTATGGTAGGTCTTAAAGGGTTAAAGCCGCTTTTCCAGATTAGTACCTACTCGGATCGGCAGGTTTTCACTTACAATTGAGTAACACGTAATGTGAGTGGTCGTCATGGCAACGCTGCCGAGCGTCCTATGACGTAATTAGTATGTGACACGAACGCTACAACATAGGTGGACGTTGACGATATCCCTGCTGCTCGGTCTGTGGCTTTCCGTCAGACTCGGGGAGCACGGTGTGTTGCCGGGTTTCAAAAATGGCAGTTTTGATTTTCGTGAACGAGGCGTCACTCGATGAGTTCAGCCAATCGGTGGACTCAAACGAAAGCAAATGTGTGAATCCATTTATTTCTTTTTTTTTCTTCCTCCTTTCATCGTCTGCTCGTGTTCAATGCTTTCATTGCCATCGCAGTAGTTTTGTGTTTGTTGGTCTCTGTGCTTTGGGACAAAATCATAGATCATAAAATTTCAGCTGGTTCCTGATCTGGAAGTGATGGGCATGTTGGAAAATATGAGTGGTTAATTGGATTTTATTTATTTAGTTTTAATTAATGGCTGCAGAGGGACAAACGCATTTTTCTGCCATTGAAAAGTTGTCACACAGCACTGAGGAAAAACTGCTTACAGATATTTCTTTTCAGTCCCGGTGGTTTTCCTATGGAAGGGCAAAATCTGTTCACGACCCTCACCAATGTAAATCTTTAGCATGAATTACAGTAAAAGGTCCAAATCTAGAAACGACTGGAGTGCAGTACCAGGTAGCACGAAGAAAAGCGCACAGATACAAATGGAGAACTTTTAAAAATGTATTTATTTTTTTCAATGAAAATCCCAATTTCTAGATTTTTGTAGGAAAAAGGACACTGGTACATTCAAGTGTAAAAATAAAGCTGAGTTAATCAGAAGTGTTCAGACCTCGTTGTTCTGGGCAGGTGACACGAGGTGCTTTTAAAGGCAGGTTTATGTTTCAGCTCTCACCGAAGTGTCGCCTTCGCTTTTCTCCATTCAGATTAAAGAATGTGCCGCGGAGGAGCTGGGGAAAGGTTACCTGGTTTCCTGCCTTGTAGATCACCGTGGCAACATCACCGACTACCAGTGCAACCAGTACATCACCAAGATGACCACCATTGTTTTCAGTGACTACCGGCTGATCTGCGGCTTCATGGGCAAGTGTCGCGATGACATCAACACGCTGAAATGTGGCAGCATCAGCACCGGAGAGAAGGTGAGGAGAAGGGATGTCTGACTTCAGAGAAAGAAGCTTGTTGTGTTTGACTAGTGCTGCTTGGTTATTGGTGGAGTAACATCTGTGTCGCTGACTCGTTGTTTTTGGCTCTTATTTACACTCATGTTGTTAGATGTATAAATAATGGGTTTGTATTCAGAACATTTGCTTGATTAGATAATTCTCTACTTTATTTTTCTTCTATTTTTTTAGGAGATGGAGATGAGATTGTAGTCTGTAATGTTCTGCACATTGTTATATTGCCCATTAACTTGAGTCAATACCTACGAACCAATAATCTGCCATATTTGTTGTTGTTTTTTTGGGCGGGGGGAAATCATGCCTTTCATTTGTATGAGCTGTTAAAAATGAATGTTATTAGTTTTTAATGTTTATTTCAACTTGTTTTTTCAGTTTGTACCCAACAGGTGCTTGCTTAGGATACTAATGTGAACCTATATCGTGACAATTATTGAAAACATTCAATACAATACAAAAAGTGAAAATATTGACGCGAGCTCCAGTCGCAGGTTCATATAAATCGAAGCCCTAACTGTTATAATTTTGGTTGAATTAGACAAGATCTTGCAGGAGAAACTATAGCTGGTTGTCAGGAATCTTATGTTGATGTGTCCAAAGAAACTGCAGCACCTAATGGACTGCTGCACACACCACAGTTGAAGTAGTTTGTGCTGAATGAGCGCTCCCAGATGCCTCAGGATGTGTTTCTGATGCTGGAGGGTGAATTTGTGGTGCTCGACTTGATTAATGTTTCAAATGGAAATCTCACAGTTGTTGCAGGCTTACAGCAGAGGTTTAAAAATGGCGGCCTCTCTGGAGGTGTTTCGATGTGTCAGAGAAGATGACATGAGATCTAACTACGCCGTAGCTGTACATCGAAGATTGTTTATAGTGCTGCTCATATTCTTACTGACCTGCTGGATTTTGGTCGGAGAGCAGATAAAACTCAAAGTGGACTGAGCTCAAATGAGAGAAGAGGAGTTTGTAGCAGCTTGTCAGCGAGCAGAGCGAATCGATCTTCCACTGAACGTGTTTCCCTGCCGCAGAGCTCCATAAGCTCCTCAGACACACACTTATTATCACGTTGGCATGATTAGAGCTCAGAGAGGATGATTTCTGTGGGCGGGAGTGCTTTTAGTTTCATTATCAGAAATTTGTCACAGTGGCTCTGAGTGGAAATCGGACAGACCATGTTGGCGCTTTAACTTCTCGCACACTGAAACGACACGAGGCAGGATTGTTTATGAACTGATTCTCAAAATGAGAAAATGTGTTATTAACTCAGCTTTAACTTGATGTTAAACTTTAAAATCAAGCTTCAGCTCTCTACTTTGTGAAATTAATCAGAAATTTGTCTTCCACCTGTTGTTAAAACTAGATGGTTGAGATGAAACGACTGTTTGCACTCTCCTAGATTCCTGAATATAAAAAGATAAAGCCCATCTGGACTCTTATCTAGTCCTTGATCTCGCAGGCTTAAAAGACAAAGGAGGAAGCAAAAACTGAGGAAAAGGAGCGCACGCAGTAGCGAGTAAAGCCATTGTTTTATAGATGAGGTGTTTATGTGGATTTGGACGGGAAAGCAAACCCTGAGCCTCCTGAGCATTTAGCTGACAAAGAACAAACGTTTTCCAAGAGCAGAAGCACAAAAGGTCGCTGAAACTGTTTAATTTATTTATTTTCTGCAGCTGACCTCTGTATTTGGTGATATCTCACTATACGAAGCGGCCCGGCTTCTTGTAGATAGCTTGTTGATATCATTTCTTGGCTTATCTGTAGAACTGACAAAGGAGATGAGGTTGGTGTGTGTCATTGAGAACTGCATGACCCAATGTGCATGTTCTCTTTGACACATTACATAATAGATGGAATAAATAAAAATAAACTGGTGCTGTTCAATTCAGTTTACACCAACTCCAATCAACTTTGAATAAGTATAAAGGAGACATTTCAAATGCACCAACTTGTTTTGACCACCCACCTTTCTCACTGACTGATATGAGCCTTTACCCACAATGCATTTCTTTAAGTTGCATTGTGGGTTTCTGTTCCTCACAGGCAGGAAACTGCTGCACTTGTAATAATTCATGATATTGGGGCACAAAGCTGGAAAAAGTGTAGATATCTGCTGGACTAATGAAGTAATAATGTTAAAATAGCTGCTGTCTGGAAACGAATCCTTGTCGTACCGGAGCTGAGCCACACCGGCAGTAGTAACTGTGGTACCTTTGCCCTCCTCACAGGACGTCCACTCTCAGGGAGAGGTGATCGCCTGTTTGGAAAAAGGTTTGGTTCGTGAAGTCGAGGACCAGGCGGGGGCGCACGTCATCAGGGAGGAATGTAAAAAGGCCATCATGAGAGTCGCCGAGCTCTCCTCCGACGACTTCCACCTGGACCGCTACCTCTACTTCTCCTGCAGAGACGACAGAGAACGCTTCTGTGAAAACGTAAGAATCCCTTATTCTAGAGCTCAGAGGATTCTTTTATTCAATTATTTTAAATTGATCAGTAATACTCTTAAATGTCACATTCTGGAAACACTTTCTAACGTTCTTTTCTCCCGATCTACCTTTTTTTTTTTTTTTTTTTTTTTTTATTATTTACATCCATTTTTAAAAAAAAAAAAAAAAAAAAAAAAAAACTGCTAAATTTGTATTATTTGTAAGCTGAAGTACCATCCAACTAGGGTCTTCTCAAATTAACGTCCCTTTGTTTCAAGATGAGCTAAAATGTGTTTCTCTGAATGTGCAGATTAGTCGAGACTATATGACGTTAGCACGAGAGGTTAACGATCAGAAAAATCCAGATGTTTTTATTTACTTTGAAAGTTAGAAGACAAACCTTTAAACTGTGAGGGAGAAATTACTTTGTGAACATTCAAATTAAAATGAACTTTACTGGAACACAGAACCTGACAGTATCAACTACCCAACTACATTATTAAATATTATAATGGAAGACATTATTCATTTGTTACTCGTTCAAAAAAAGTTCTTCAGTGGATCCAAAGTGATAAACTATAAAGAAAGATTGCGGTTTTCCCACGTTGGTTTCTTTTCACTGATTCCTGAACTGAATTGAAAGTTCACGTTAAAGACGTCACAGTTATCTCAGACTGCAGGCTCGTTTGTGGTTCCTGGGACATTTAAAATTAGAATGTGAGGTAGAGCCTTCAGCTTTCAGGCCCGTGTGCTCCGAACCCAGCTCCCAGTTTGGATTCAGCTGCTCTACTTTTTAAGATTAACCTTCAGTCTTTCTGTTTTTTGATAAAGCCTATAGTTGGTTAGTTAGTTGCTGCCTTCTGTGTCACATGGGATAAAGAGAAGTTGTAGTTGTTACCTGACATTAGTAAAGCACCTTAAAATGACTGAATTTGAAAGTTGATTAACTTTTTCCTTTTTTTTTTTTCTTTTCAGACTCTGGCTGGGGAAGGAAGAGTTTACAAATGCCTCTTCAATCACAAGTTTGAGGATTCCATGTCTGAGAGGGTGAGTGCCATTTACTGTGTCCACATTTCATTTATAGAGATTTTTTTCCCTCTACAAAATACTTAAAATGAACCTTTTCCATCTCCTGGTGATGGGGAAAAAGTCTTATAGTGATGATGGTTACAGAACAATGAAGTGTACAAATTGTGATGGATACGGCCTTCCTGCAGATTAAAAATCAAACTCGTTGAGCATTCAGTTGTGTAATAAGTGTCTGTGTATGTTGTGTGTCATCAGTGCCGCGAGGCGCTGACCACCAGACAGAAACTGATTGCTCAGGACTACAAGGTCAGCTACTCGCTGGCCAAAGCCTGCAAGTCGGACCTGAGGAAGTACCACTGCAACGTGGACACCAGCATGCCCCGAGCGAGGGAAGCTCGCCTGTCCTACCTTCTGCTGTGTCTGGAGTCAGCCGTCCATCGAGGTGAGCAGACCTTTATCTGTCGCTCTTGGCTCCAGCAACTAATTAATGTCCCTTTTTGTTTGTGTGGCACTCAGAGGCCACTGAGAGCTCAATTACATGTCAGTCATTGCTCTGTTTCTCCACTACGAACCTGCTCCTGTTTATTTTGCTGAAGACTAGTCTGAGGCAGACAAAGTAAAACTGTCGAGTTTGTGTGAGGGTAGAAGGTTAGTTTCATTTAACCTCAGAAGTCAGTTTCCAGGTTGGTTCCTCGAGTTGTTTTTGTGAAATGTGTTTGAATATTTTGTGCTTAAACGAGATACCACAGCTACAGTGTGTGTGTGTGTGTTTTTCAGGTCGTGTGGTCAGCGGCGAGTGTCAGGGTGAGATGATGGATTACAGGCGGATGCTGATGGAGGATTTCTCTCTGAGTCCTGAGATTGTGCTGCACTGTCGCAGTGAGATTGAGAGTCACTGCTCCGGTCTGCACCGCAAAGGACGAACGCTGCACTGCCTAATGAGGGTCGGCCGAGGAGACATGGGCGCCATCGATCCCAGCTGTCAGAAGGCGGTGAGATGGCATTTATAATATTCACTGTATGGTTACAGAAACATTTACATAGATATCACTGTACAGATTTACCTGCATGAACACAACTCTGTTTGACCTGCCCACAGCCATATTCCTACATGTCCCAGAATGTCGTGTAATGTCTTGCGCTCACTTTTTGATTTTATTATGATATTTTTTCCGTCCACAGCTGCAAACGTTGATCCAGGAAGCCGACCCCGGGGCCGACTACCGCATCGATCGGGCGCTTAACGAGGCCTGTGAGTCCGTCATCCAGACCGCATGCAAACACATCCGCAGCGGCGACCCCATGTGAGTCCTCGTGGAGGGAGAGGGATCCAGCAAATAGAAATCCTAAAATTTGACACAGTAGAAAGTGCAATGATCCCACCTGCTGTATGATCATGTGGAAAAAAACCTGAAGAAGAACCGACCGTTCAAGGTCTTATGGCTGCTGCGCCGTGTGGCTGAGATGTGAATGCGTTTGTGTTTCCTGATCCTGCAGGATCCTGTCGTGTCTCATGGAACATCTGTACACTGAGAAGATGGTGGAGGACTGCGAGCACAGACTGCTGGAGCTGCAGTACTTCATCGCCAGAGACTGGAAGTAAGTCCTGCCGACAGGCTGAAGAAAGTCTGTTTTCGACATTAATGAGGTTCAGATGATCATCTTCAATTTAGTATATCAGTTTATTGGTATTTGGTAATTGATCATTTTAGATGTATTGCTTTTTAACAAGGCTGCTGTAAAAGTTTTCTTGGTTAGTTGATTGCCTCCATTTAATACTGCGACCATAGATGGTATAAAAACACTTGTTAGTAAAGTGCTGATTGGAAGCCTTGAGAGTTTTGCTGTTGCCATCTGCTTTGAAGTGAAAGTTGACAAGTGAGGATCTGAAGTGAACCTGAATTTAGGGAGGCATTTAGACGGGGTGGTTTTTCTCATAGATGTCTGTGGGACTGGAAGGATTTTTACAACCACAAGCACCGCCCCCCTGGTGTTTTTTTTTTTTTTTTTTTTTTTTTTTTTTTTTTTAAAGTAGGTTTAAGACAGTTCTGCATTGGTTTTACGTTTCAGAGCCAGGATCTTCGTCTATCTTTTATTCTGTCTGTGCTTTAGTCCCAAAGAGACAGCTGCAGGTATTAATCTGCCTGTTACATCCTGTGTCGCTGCTTAGGTTGGATCCGATCCTGTACAAGAAATGTCAGTCCGATGCATCCCGACTCTGCCACACTCACGGCTGGAATGAGACCAGCGAGTTGATGCCACCTGGTGCCATTTTCTCATGCCTGTACCGCCACGCCTACCGCTCTCTGGAGCAGGGACGACGGGTGAGTCTCTGCCGTTGATTTAATCTAATGATTAAATGTGAAGATTACAGCACTTGGAGATCTCCAAGTGCTGTTTTAGATTTGTTAATAGAACAGTTTGTTTCAGGAGAGGTAACTGTAAAGCACAAAAACCTGGCTTATAGGGCATTCATGCAGCCATAGGAGCTCTGTATTTACATTAGGAAAGTAGACTAATTTTATAAAGAGACTGTGCACTGTGGCTCAGTGAAGTGTTGCCTTAATTGTGTGACTGCTTACAGTATTGCAATTAGTACAGTGTACATTTTGTTTTCAAATGACCACTGCAGTTTTTTGGACTAATTTGGACATTTTTATGCCAAATAAGCGTTTTACAGGGGGAACGTTTTGTATACTCTCAGTGGCTTGAAAGGCCTCTGAATTCAAATTAGTTAAAAAAAAGTGCATTTTTCTACAGTTTAGGCTTTTTAAATAAAAGGTCATTTAAATGTTCCTTGCTTTAAGTTTTCTGTGTCTGCACAGCTGTTTCTGTTTTTATTCTCAAGGTTGTGACTTATCTGTAGGCTCAGCCTAAAAGTGCAGATACAGAAGTTAAACCCTTGTTTAGTCTGATGAATTTCTGCCAAATGTGAAAAATACTGGAAATGTTTGCAGTTTGAAGGAGGTGAAGACAGCTGTGACGAATTCAGATGAAGTGACTTTAATCTTTATTTAATATAAATGCACAAAGTTGCTTTAAGCCTGAACTGACAACAACTTGCATGTGTGAAGAGGTAAATGTAAGGTGCCAAATATATACAGGAAGTCTCTGACCACAGAATGCTCTCGTAGTTCCCCAGTGGTGAGTCTGAAGCGGAAAACCATGGTTCGATGGTGAGTACCTCTTACTGCTGCTGATCTCATGATGCTGCTCACAGAATCGCATCTTGGATGATTACTGGTGGTTTGTAGAGGAGAAGTGATTGTGTTGGATAATTCCCACCCACTCTCAGTGCATGTGGGAGCTGGCTTTTAATTGCTGAAGTGAGCTGCTGAACCCTGAAGTGAAGAATCAATATGACAATCCACTTACGGAAAACTTGGTGATGCTGATGATTCAGCTGCAGCAAAATTAAGCCTTTGATTAAAACAAGCAGTGTAGGAAACGCTGGCTGTGTTTAAGGTGATACTCCACCCAAAATGTGTTTTTCCAGTCCTGCTGAGGCTTGTAACAAGTTGTGTGAAATTAGTTAAACACCCTATGATGTTACAGAGAGAACCTTGCTAATCTAATTACCCTCTGTGTAGCATCTGGCAGTGGTGGAGAGGAAGAATTCCCTTTTGACAGGAAGAAACGTCCATGAAAACCAGGAAGTTGTAAAACACTGCAGTACCGAGAAGTTCCACTTGAGGCTTGAGTGTAGAGTCGCACCCCATAGACTAAACATGTTGTAAACATGTTTACAGCCTGCTGCAAAAAATGTTTTGGCCTGTATGGGAAGTTTCACACACCTTGAGCAGGTGTCTGTGCTCCAGCGGTCATTAATATCAATGCATTTTAGTAACCTGGGAATGTGCAGCTGCATTACAAGTACAGACTGGAGAAATACAGTGTGACAAAATCATTAATAGCTTTTTAAAGAGCTCAAAAATAGCAAAGACCTGTATACAGTGCAACGCTGATAATGAAGACTTGATTAGTAGAAAGGCAATGCTGCTCTCCGCCATTGTCGTCTTTGTTAATGAGAAATAAATGGCGAAAAACAAGTGCCACAAAAGTATTAACGTTTAATGTCAATATCACTCTCACATTTTATCTGTTAATATTGAATTAAACGTACAAATCTAAAGGCTTTCGAGGATTAAATGTGAAGGACAGACACACTGAAAATCTTGGGTTGAGTATCATTTTACAGTGTCCGTGATTAACAGCAGCCGATACTTTGGTGGGTAATTTGATGACGATGTCGTCATCGTCGTCCTCCTGCAGCTCTCCCGGGACTGCAAGGTGGAGGTGCAGAGGATTCTCCACCAGAGGGCGCTGGATGTGAAGCTGGACCCTGAGCTGCAGAGGCGCTGCATGACTGACCTGGGAAAGTGGTGCAGCGAGAAAACGGAGGCCGGGCAGGAGCTGGAGTGCCTGCAGGACCACCTGGACGACCTGGTTGCTGACTGCAAGGAGGTGGTGGGAAACCTGACCGAGCTGGAGTCAGAGGTTAGCTTGTCTCCGCACACTGCAGTTTCTTTAAAGCGTGCAACGTGCAAAACATTAGGCACAAACATGAGACAACTGATGTTTCCAAGGTTCCTTTGAGGCATTAAAGGTATTAAAATCAAAGGAAGTAAGGGCTTGAAATGAGTTTTGCATAAATTTTCTGTATGTAGTTAAAGATGATTATGGATGATTAAAAAAAAGACTTGGCCCTTTTTTATAGGTGTTTACAAACCAGTTTCCAGTTGTCTGAAAAGTTGTATTATTTGCACTGAATTACTGGCAGGCAGCAGGTGGGGCATCAACCTGATAATTAACTTCTCAGTACAGTACGCAGACATTTGGACTGAAATAGTGAGTTTGAGCCGTCCCACTCTGATAAAAGCAGGTAAACCTGAACTGGCTGAAGTCATTTTGAGTTTGTGATTTCCGTCTGCAGGATATTCAGATTGAGGCGCTGCTGATGAGAGCTTGTGATCCCATCATTCAGGCCCACTGCCATGTAAGTATGAACTGATGAGCACATCTTCCTTCAAACTTCAATTCTTTGGACATTTTCTGTGTTTTGGTTGAATATACTAAGTTTGGTTGAGACTCTACAACAGCCTCCAAGCAAACTGATGTTCCTGTGACTGAAGCTGCGACGCGTAACGTTTTTCCTTAGCAGGTCAGAGACGCCATATACTCAACAATGGAATTGAAGCATGATGCACAAAAAGCTGAAGGCCTGCCAAGGAGGATATTTTGCAGTCTAGTTAAATTTAAAAAAATTCATCTGTAACAGCAAAATCAAATTTTCTCTTGTGGACAGTCCCCATGCTCTTATTTTGAAAATTCTCTGCAAACCAGCAGTCCTTTCACAGCTCATGTTTTCCTTCCAGTAGGTTCATCTTTTCACAGTTGTGAGACAGTCATTTCCAAAGCTGCCCTCTTATTTATTGCCACAGTGTTGTCTGGTTTATTAATATATATGTGCTTCTCCTTTTGTGCCCCCCTGAAGTTACAACTTCTGAGGGGTTATTTGTTTGTTTTTAAGATGTTCCCTGACCTGGGTTTTCCCATGTGTGGTCTAAGTTCTTGACCACAAAACAAAATTTCAAAGTTTCTGTGTTTGGTCAAAGCTGGCGCCACACGAAGAGCTCGCTGTACTTTGCTAAAATGCTCATGAACAAGTTCTCGTCACACTGAGAGGTTATTTTTGACCAGATGAATCAGACGGTGACTTTTATTTTTTTAACTCACTTGAACCATCTTGCATCTATGCAGTGTGCAGGAAATTATTAAGGCACTTTAGAGGAGAAGCACATTTTTCACAGCTCTTTCAAAGCATCTTCTGCTAAATACAGCATGTTGATTACTTTTGTCAGTTTCAACATATTTCAGAGGAAGTTGTCGATGAGTTCAGTCTTCCTTCTCCTTTTCTCTGTGCGCCTGGCAGGAGGTGGCTGATAACCAGATCGACTCTGGTGATCTGATGGAGTGTTTGGTTCAGAACAAACACCAGAAGGAGATGAATGAGAAGTGTGCCGTGGGAGTGACACACTTCCAGCTGGTAAGCAGACTGATGGAAATGTGTTGGTGCAGGAGTAGAAGAAGAATGAGCTCCTAATGTTTTGTTATGCAAAATCTTATCAGTTTAGAAAGGCTGTAATATTCCTGCAGCTTCTTGAAATCATTAATAACCAACTGCTCTGACTGCCCTTCCGCCTGTCCACAGATTCAGGTTAAAGATTTCCGTTTTTCCTACAAGTTCAAGACAGCCTGCAAGGAAGACGTCCTCAAACTGTGTCCCAACATCAAGAAGAAGTAAGACAAATACAGACTAGAGCAAAATCAGCCATAGAAGATATTACAAATGCAAAAAGCACCAGTATGTCCAACAGTTGATTTGATATGTGACCATACAATCTGAATCTATTGTCTGATTGGGGTTTTTTTCTGAACATACCCTCAGTTTTTAGGTGTTCGTGTTAGTGGTGTCCAGTCAGATACAGTCCTGTTAGACCTGCTGAGGTTTCCAGCTCTCTGTGTTTCAGAGTGTGACCGATGGCTGAATTATACTGTGAGCTGCCAGCAGCCTTTTTTCATCCAGCAGTCCAAACACTGAGGACAGTTTCACATGTAGGATATTTTTTAAAGGAAATTATCTGGATTCGCAAGCCTTAGAACTCAGCACTGCTCTGTGATCACTTCTAAGTTGTTGTTTCTGGGTTTGAGAATGTAAATGTTGTAGAAACCTAAGATTGTAACACTGCAGTTGGTGGAAATGTATATTTTTGCATTGATGTTGACCACTCAAAGCTCCTTGAACTGCATGCTACATTCACACAGATCTTTATTCTATGCATTGGAGAAATTTAACTGCATTGCATAATTAGCTATGGTGATACTCGTGTCCATTTGATGTCTGTGAAAATCATAACTCCCAAGTTATGATGATGGAAAAAGAGCTTTTCAGGTTTGCAAGCATGAACCTGTGGATGGATCTTTACTGGTTTCCTGTAGTTTAAGTCTGCAGATCACTGAGGGTCTCTCAAGCAGTCCGCTGCTTACTGGGCCTTCTCCCCTCTGTCACCTGGCAGGCATGCTGCAGGCCAGCAGGGGTCTGCAGTTAATATTGAAAGATGGGTTTTAGACAGGCTAATCTGAACCTAGTGCTGGATTTGCAGACCCACTTCAGGGTCTGTTGCATAGTTTTTCTTTCTACATACAATACAGGTTGAAAAGTGGGCTTCAACAGGAAGTTCACCGAGGGGGAAAATTACAGCACTAGATTGCAGCGAACTGAATTCTGTCATCTTACTCCTCCTGACTGAAGTATGTAGTCTAGCTACAGTGGCTGCTGTAGGACAAATAGCTTTGGCTGCCATCCATCTGTAGTGAGTGTCGGCTGCCAGTTTGCTGTTTATATCAACTGGTGTTTATTCACTCTGGAGGAGGCTGTAGAACGAGTGTGTGTAAGATCGGTCGATGAGTAAGAGAAGCTCTCTTCTGACCAATAACAGCGACACTGAGGTGAACTGTTGAGCTTACTCCTCTGTGGGTAAGCTCAGCCGGTGTTAGTGAAGTTGTGGAGTGGATCTAACATTGTTGGATGTGGACACTTGTAATTAGACATGAATGTTTTTTGTTTTGCTTTTTTTAAATAAACTCAGAAAATGACAGACTGCACCTTTAAAGATGAAAGAAGCACTAAGAGAAGTACAGGCAGCAGCTGCAGTGGAAAACTGATTATTTAAACCTCTGCTTCGCTTTGAAGCTGCTGAAGCCAACTTTGGTTGTTCTAAGTGTTGACACTGCCCCCTGGTGACAGTGCATAGCTACAACATGTAGCTGTAGCTTGGTGTGTAAGCTTTGGGTCAGATGAATTCACACCCATGCTGGCCACTAAACTCCACTCTGTCCATCTCCAGCTGTGGTTTTCCCCAAAAACGTATTTGGTGTAATTTGCTTAATCGAGCTTCACTGTTACTCAGCAGTTTATCCTAAGACAGATCTTTCTACTTCATTTTTTTCTTTAATTAAAACTTTGAATTGGACACTTTCTGCTTTTCCTTACTTTTTTCTCATCTGCTGATCATACTGAATCTGACTGGTCGGGTGAACCTCTGTGACTTCCTGTCGTTGTCAGGGTGGATGTCGTGATCTGCCTCAGCACCACGGTGAGAAACGACACCCTGCAGGACGCCAAGGAGCAGCGAGTGTCTGTCAAGTGTCGTAAACAGCTGCGGGTGGAGGAGGTGGAGATGGTATGTTCTCTGACTCTCTGTCACAGTCGGGCAGTGTAACGTCCTCGGGTTTGCTGTTGGTTAGCGAGAAACCGCCCAGAAACGTATGAAACAGCCCAACATGCCGTTAAAAGAAAATGATTTTAGAACCTTTATTTTTAGGCTAAGTATGTTTGGTTTTCTGTGAGTTTATAAAAGAGATTTAACCCGTGTTTGTAAAAACAGTTAAAATATATTTCTTTATCAGGACGCATGTGCAGATGGTTCTAGTTCACAGCAACAGCAGCTGCAGTTTTATAACACCTTTTTGTGCAGTTCACAGCACATCACACATGACTGACAAACCCAATAAGACACAAGAAAATGAACAAAAATGGATTAGAAGCAGTTAAAAAGAAATCAAATATAAAGTAATGCTTGGAAAAAGTGTTACGAAAAGAAAACGCTAATATATAATGATAGAAAACATGCAGCACAAAGACTTAAGAAGTCAAAATATTAAGATGGAATAACACTTGGATACCCTGATGTCAGTAGGTGCGTATTGAAATGTAAATAGAGTAAACTGAGATGAGCGGATCTAGTTTATGTTCCTTTCACTTTTCCAAACCTGGAGTAAAAAGTAGCAGCAAACGGCATCGTCTAAGGTTCCTCCTGGGAGCATCTGGTGTTTTTTATCTTTTCTGGTGTGCTTCGTTGAAGCGAGCAGAGATCCTTCGTGTCTTTAAAGTTTTTATTTTGTGTCTGTTTCCTTTAAATTCTCCAAATCTGCCTCAAACGTCTGCAGTCAGAGGACATCCGTCTGGAACCGGAGCTGTACGACTCCTGCAAGACCGACATCGGCAGGCTGTGTCAGAACGTGGCCTTTGGGAATGCACAGGTCAACACACACACACACACACACACACACACACACACACACACACACACTAGTTAATGAGTATGAAGGATCCTCCTGAGTTGAACCCAGAACGTTATTTTTGCCGTTCGCATCTCTTCTGATATAATTAAAAACAACCTGTAAACACTCTGTGGACCATGTTAGAACCAAACTTTAGCCGCCGCCGCCACAGTGCAGACAAAAGTGTTTCCTTAACACTGAACGAATGAAGAAAGAGTCGGCAGCTTTAAAACCTAAAATAATTTTACTGCCAGTAGATTTTACCTGTAACTTTGTTGGGAAATCCGTAAAATACAAAATACGAATGTAAGGAGTTGAAGAAAATTTTTAAACAGTCTGAACTGTACAAAAAAGAATTTATTTATTCATTTATTTCTTTATTGGCTTCATCTCTGCAGGTTATCGAGTGTCTGAAGGAGAACAAGCGTAAGCTGAGTTCGCAATGCCACCAGAAGGTCTTCAAGCTGCAGGAGGTGGAGATGGTTGATTCTGAACTTGACTATCAGCTGATGAGAGTCTGCAAGAACATGATCAGAGTAAGCAAGAGAAGAAAAACAAGATCAGTTTCCTTCACTCTGAATTGTGGACATGAATCTTAGGATCAGGACTATTTCTTAGCGAGTAATTCAGACCATGTAGCAGCGTGTTAATGGCTAACCTTATGTTGTGGATGGATCATCTCAGACATTCTCTTGGCTGAAGTCTTTTCATCATCACCATCTTGTTTCTGGGTTATGATGGTGTTTGTCTCTGCCCATTGGGAACGCGTATCCTCCATCTTCTCTGTGCTGTTTTGTAATTTAACGAAGAATAAAACAGTTTTTCATCAAATGACCAGAAACATCACAGACTCGTTATCTTATCCTCTGGTGTCGGTGGCCCCTCAGAGGGTTTCTTTTGGTTAAATATGGGCCTGGCGGGGTGGGCGTTTCTTTAATTGTGGGTCCACGAGGGTTTGATGTTTGTTATTGTGATTGAGCTGAATGTAACGTGGCTGTTTGATGTGTTCAGCGCTTCTGTACAGAGTCAGATGGGAAGAACGTTCTTCAGTGTTTGAAGCAGAACAAGAACAGCGAGATGATGGATCCCAAATGCAAGCAGATGATAACCAAGCGACAGATCACCCAGAACACAGGTACACACACACACACACACACACACACACACACACACACACACACACACACACACACACACATTAATTGGAATAAAGCAGCTCAAGTCTAAATAAGCCGAGGTGGGAGAACAGATGAAGTGTTGCTTGTTAGCATGAGATCAGATTTTCATCTGTTATGCGTTTGTTTCCAGACTACAGGCTGAACCCGGTGCTGAGGAAGGCCTGCAAAGCCGACATCCCAAAGTTCTGTGACTCCATCCTAAAAAAGGCCAAGGATGAAACCGAGCTGGAGGGTCAGGTTATCTCCTGCCTCAAACTTAAATACGCTGACCAGGTGAGAGCCACGGCTGACTTTACCAAACCACAGTGTTAGATTAGTTTTACACCTCACATCCAGGTTTTACTGGCTCTAGGGACGCTGCTTCACTGAGCAAAAACATTCAAACTGATTTTATTTCAACAAATATGAACCTGTAATTTATTGGTTTCATCTGTTAGGTGTTGATCATACACTTCGGGGGTTATTCTGCTCATTTCCAGATCTGTACTTTTATTCTTTGTCTCTAATGAAGCAGCTTTAGTGCAGCTCCTCGGTTCATCCTCTGAGACTAGCTGTTTAAGTCCCTCCCCCTTAAATCAGCTTTCTTCTTATTGGTTGCCTATTGTAAACAGAAGGTTTGAACAACCTCTATACCTGTGGCATTATTTCTGATATGTCCTCATTGTCTGGGATCATCAGGATCTGAGCTTTTGGCTGCTGAATAATTATTTGAAACTTCAGAAATGTTTAATTTGAGCAACCCCGGATCTGCAAGAGAGTGTTGCTCTCTATCCACACAACTTTTAATCAATCATAATAAGATGAGAAGCGTTGGTGAGTCCGCCTGTAGATGGTGAAGGAGTTATTTGTGGAATAAAAGTTTATTTTTGTGTGTGTGGCAGCGTTTGTCTCCTGACTGCGAGGATCAGATCCGGGTCATCCTGCAGGAGTCGGCATTGGACTACAGACTGGACCCTCAGCTGCAGATCCAGTGTGCAGAAGAGGTTTGCTGCTCTCCACTTTCACTGTGACACACACAGTTTATTCTTCCCATCACTCCATCCTAACTCATTTTGTGCCCGAGCACATGCGTCATAATTATTCTTATTGGGTAAATATTTAGGAATAAAAACGGCTGACATTCACTGTGATGTAGTCATGTCTCCAGCAGGAGGTGCCAGCTGCTTGGTAATAAATTACTGCACAGATATCAGCGGTACTTTACGTTCTACCTGCTTCTGGGTTCTTTTGGATCATTTAGAGGGGGGAAACATGGATATGACCTTCCTGTGCACCTTTACATTTGAAGGCATGCATGCAAAAAGCAGCTAAATATGTTCATGAAAACAACACAAGTGCTAAAATTAAACACAGAGTAAAAATATGAATCTCTTTCATGCACACGTGTCGCTCCTACGCTTCGTTCTGTCAGAAGATGTCGAACAAACGATGACTGGATCGTGACTGAGGCAACAGATTTAAGAGAGAAATATCATCAGAGTTTAAAAATATGGATTATTGAAGCGCTGCTGAGAAGCCAGAATGTGACTCACAGTGAGCAGGCAGGAGCTCAGAGGGGCTCTGACAGCATTAATGGCTTTTTATTGATTATTGTGTGTTTGCAGATCTCCAGTCTGTGTACAGAGGAGGCAGCAGCTCAGGAGCAGACAGGACAGGTGGAGGAATGTCTGAAAATCAACCTGCTGAAGCTCAAGAAAGAAGGATGTAAGAAGGTAAAACAAGCTCACCGCTGCCTTCACTGACCACTCAGACAAACAGACCATCATTTGGATTTCAGTTTCATCTTCCTGCTGTAGACGCAAAGTAACCGTTTCTTTTATTGTTTCATTTTCATTTACAAACTCTTATTCTTATGATAGAAATCAAGCGTACCTCTTTGAGTTACAGTGATGTAACTGTGGCTATTTTCTGGCATCAATGTTTAAATGAATCTTTTATAAAGAAAAGGAGGAATCGCACTACAGAATCAACTCTCATGATCCTTTCTTTCTAGAAGCTTTTCTAACAACACATTTATGCTCCTCCTCTCCCACGCTGACCCCGCAGGAGGTGTTGAACATGCTGAAGGAGAGTAAGGCGGACATCTATGTCGACCCCGTCCTTCACACGGCCTGCGCTCTGGACATCAAACACCACTGTGCTGCCATCCCACCCGGCAAAGGACGCCGTGAGTCAAACTCACTCAGAAGTCATGTGACTCAGACACGAAAAACAAACGTCCCACTTTTTATTTCAACGACTGGCTGCTATTCAGCGGCCGTCAGAACAAAAGAAGGGCAAACTTTGCATTGCAGGAGTCAGCAAAATTAATGTTATTTATTTTTAATAATGCAGAGAAAAGGTAGCAGAAACAAACTGTTTCTTCTGCATAATACACAGAAACTACAATCCCCATCCAAATTCTGTTTGTCTTTCAGTTTATTTATATCTAATGGAAGTTTTGTGTCCCATCAGAAATGTCGTGCCTGATGGAAGCGCTGCAGGACAAACGTATCCGTCTGCAGCCCGAGTGCAAGAAGAGACTTCAGGATCGCATCGATATGTGGAGCTACGCTGCCAAGGTACACGCACCGAGCAGGGAAACACCTGTGACACACGTGCGCACATTTGAGGAGGGTGGAGGTCTGCAGGTGCTATCAATCAAGTTAGCATAACAAGGACCGAGTTACATGATTTGGCTTCACTTAATCTATCGCAGGATCTTCCAAGAGTGGGAGTGCTATTTTCCAGAGCTCTGACTGGTGGTGATTTTGTATGTCTTGCTCTCTTATCGTCACATTACCTGCTCCAGAGTAAGTTAGGCCTGCAGCATAGGTTGCTACGTTAGTGGTCATTAAAACCAGCTTTAGGTTTAAACCTGAAAACACAAGATTAAACCTGAAGTTGTCGCCTTTGACCTTTTTGAGTCAGTTTTAAGAGACTTTTATTTTGAAATTTATTACTTTAATTCAACATGCTTTTACCTCATAATTGGGCGATTGAACACATTTTTATTTTTTATCGAAATATTTTTGAATAAGTAATTTGCACAAAAGTTTAAAGGTGCTTTTATTTTTCCTCTGAAATGACGCAGGCTTTTAATTCTTTCTCTCTGCCGTCCACCAGGTGGCGCCTGCTGAGGGACTTGGGGACTTGGCCATGCAGGTGATGACATCGCCGTCCAAGAACTACATCCTGACCGTGATCTGTGCCGGTGTGGCGCTGCTCTTCATGATGGGGCTGTTCTGCGGCAGGTTCACCAAGCGAGTCACTCAGGAGCTCAAGGACAGGTAGACTCCGCCCCCCCCTCTGGGGTCAGGACATATTTAACGACCGCAACTGAAAAAGACCTCCTCGCCATTTCACCCCTGATGCTCCTGAAAGTCCGCCGCATCGTCTTTACTTTCCTCCTGCAAGCTTTTTCACCCTCTCTCACAGCTGGGGGCATCTACATGGGAATGACATTACCCACAATCCTAGCTGTCAGAGATTTTCACACATTCTTATCTGATATATCTGGAGGGTTTTTTTTGTTTGTTTTTTAACTCTTTCTCTTTTTGCTGTTGGTTTAAGGGGCAAGGATAGGGAGGGGAATTGGTAAGAATGTGGGGTCGGAGGTCAACGGTTATAAGTCAAGGTGAAAAAATGAAATGCGTAGGTGTAAATGTGTAGAATGCAGGGTGGGCAAATGCTCATGTGTAATAGAGCAGTTTAATGACTCCAGTATTTTATTGATGAGTGTGTGTTGCTGTGAAGGTATGTGTGTGTGAGCGCGAGTGTGTGTTGCTGTGAGGGTGTGTGAGAGATCCAAACTGTCTTTATGCCGCCAGATTGTTTTCTCCTTCTGCTTGAACAGGTTTTTGGAGTTTATTACACTTTTTTCCCCCCTTCCTTTTTTTGTGCTGATTCATATTAGATTTTATCGCCAAGGGACTGCCAAGTGGGCGGTGCCAGCCAGCCCTCGACCGAGCCACAGATAAAGAGGCGAGGGTGGGGCCACAGAGTTGCACCTCACACACTTTGGCCAACTCGCTACAACCGGAATCGCTTGTGGTTATTTTACTTGGGTTTTTTTGTTTGTTTTCTCCAGATGGAGAAACCTCATCAATCCGGTGTCTTATTTTCCCACAGCACAGCCTGTGTCATAAATGCACCGTGTGTGTCCACCTGCTGCTCCCATCATTGCCATCTCGGGTGGGATTTTCTTTTTTTCTTTTTTTTTTTTTAAACATCACTCTGCTCAGACTGGGATGGAAACCAGACGTTTTGATTGCCGCCCATCGCCGCGCAGAGTGGCTGTCGGTTTTGTGCTGGTTGGCACGAAAAAGCTGAGAAGCAATGCAGGAAAAAAATAAAGACAAAAAAGCAACAATTCTAGATTACTATAGAGATGTGAACATTTTTGTGTAAAAATGATACTGGAATCATTGCACATTTTTCGTTTTTTTTTTTTTTTTTTTTTTTTTTTAAATATCTATAAATATATATATATTGTTTTGTCATAGCCTTATTTATTTGTTTACTACTTTTTTTTTCATCTATGATTTGAATGTTCTCTGGTTGCCTTTTCTCCAGCGAGACTCCCTCCTTCCTGCAGGGGGGGTGGGAGGAGGGAGAGGAGAGGCAGGGCGGGGGGAGGCAGCAAAGGTGTGAACACCTCCAGGTGTCGAACTCCTTGAGGAACTAGTGGATTTTCACGTGGGACAGTGCAGATTTTGAAATGCTGCATGCACCAGCTCCGTGTTTTTATTCTTGGGCTTGACCAGAGTCACTTTGCATGATTCCTGGTTCCAAATAATCTTTATTTGCTTCCTACTGGTTGACTGTTCCTCCTAAGAAAGAGGTCTGAGCAGCAGATGGGGGTAAGGCTTGTGTGCCTGAGATGACCGGATTAAGGATATCTTCTCTTTTTCTCTCTCTCATCATACAGATCCAGGATGTAGAGCAGCCTGAAGCCTGAGCTTTCCAGTTATTGTACATACACTGGCCTCGTTATTAGAAACATTGTAATTTTTTTTTTTTTTTTTTTTTTTTAAACATGAACATCCATCAGTTCAACAGAAGTTGTGTAGGTTCACCTGAGGCAGTGTCGAGCAGCAAAATGCAGTTCCGCCATTGTCAACTTGATGCCGACTCCAGCATGAGTCAGTGTTCAAGGTTACCGCAGAAATAAAAATGTTTAAAGCTTGTCACAAAAATCATTTTGATCTCTGTAGATGGTTTCTCCTTCACTCTGGGTAAATTCATTCGTAGCTCACCTGGTCCGACTTTGTGAAGACTTAAAGTTAGGCGTGAGGGTGCTTTGAGGGTGTGCCGACACTGGCAACTAATTGGAATCACTGAGCTCTGGAACGTGTTTCGGGTGTCTTCTCCTTTGATGATGATGATGATGATGATAATGAATATGACTTTGACGTGCAGGTAATTCTTCTAACAAACCATCCAACAGGTCTCTGCTTTAGTAATCGTGGCATTGTCTTTATTTTTTCGCTTGTTACTTGCCACTAATGACTCTGTTACTGTAAAGTTGTCTCAACAGCATTTAACAAAACATGAGATATTGCCAGGTGCATACCAGTTTTTACCACGAGATGGGGCAACAAGGCAAGAGATTAAGAGCATGTTCTTAGTCTCTTAAGGGAAGGCAGAAATATTTCAGTACACCCCCTGGAAGAATTCTGCCCCCTGGTGGTGAAAGTGTTACAAATGTTACCTTTAACACTAACTGGCAGGTTATGCACACTCACACAGTTTACAACTCTCCCCTCTCGTCCAGATACAGTCACTCTGGCTCTGTAAAAGCATATACACAGACATATATAGTCTGTGGTTCTGTAGAGGAGGACGGATTGCTCGGAGGGCGTGTTTGCGACGCTCAGCCTGCAGGTCGATGCCCGAGGAGGCGTTCAGTCTCATATAAACACGTATAAGCAAACACTAAATCGAGGGCCTCTCCTCTCCCTGCGTGAGCTGATCACATGTACATGTGTATGATACTGAGTGACGATAACTTACTGTAAACTACATGTACCGTTCCCCTTCTAACTGTTGAAGCTTGGCGTGGTGAGCGCTGCCCTCTCTGCTTGTAAATGAGACGTTCTGCTTCATTGAAATGCCTTTTTTTCCATCAGATTTTGTTTGTTTGTTTTTAAATCGAAGTGTGCCTAACCGCCGTCCCGCTGTACAGGACATCCCAGACGACCTGTTGCACCCAACAGAGGGTGACGTGTGGCGTATTTGACCGATCTTTTTGTAAAACTCTCTTGTTTGTTTGTTTGAATCCATTGAGCTCCTGATTGGTTTGGGGTTTTTTTTGTCCACTTTTTTTCTTTTGTTGTTGTTGTACAGATGAAAAATTGGACAGTTTGTTAATGATAATAATAAAGTCTGCAAGGTTTCTACTCCACTGTTTCTTTATTTCAAGTCCGGCTCAACCAGAATTTACGCTGTGAAATGTAATATCTGTACATGTGGTAATACTTGAGCCCTGCACTAAAACATGTAGTGCTTTTTTTTTGTGCATCTATATAAACTTTGAGGAAATGTTTGATTCCAAGTGGGACAGATGTTTGTTTCTACAGTGAGGTATTTGTGTGACATCTGGATGTAAATGAATAGGAGCCAGAGCGGGTGTCCATGTATATGGCATATGTATATGTGTCTGCTTTTATAATATGGAAAAATTGAGATTTGCTAAAAATGCACTTCGGTTGCTGAAGTGATATTTATGTGGCATCAATGAGTAAGTTTAAGATGCCTTCAGAACAGACCCTTACATTTAGGAAATAAGTTTCCTATTCTTTAGGTAATTATGGTAAAACTTTTCTTTGTTTTCACATCAGTTTGTGGGGCTTCAGCTCAGTTTTTTTGAAGCTTAAAAATAAAAATCCCAATTTAATTTTGAAAGGTTAAAAGTTCTCATCTTAAGAAACCGCTGTGTCCAAAAATCTGCGTGTGGTGTTGGAAGAGACCAGCTCGAGCAAAGTGTGGATCGGGCTGTACTTGCATGTAGTTCCAATTTGTACCACAAGGTGGCCCAACTATTTAAACTAGTGTTTGTGTAACCAGGCACATCATTAAAAACACTTTATATACCACGCTGCCTCGGAGTCAAATCAAAGCCTCGTGAGACTAAAACTGTCCTCTGTGGTTGAAAGTTTGAGTTTGCAGTGGGCGATTACAAAAAATCAAAATCAAAACCATGTGGTGGCGTCCTTCGTTGTCAGACTGCAGCTCTCAAGCAAAATCCCGTCAGTGGCCTCAAACATCAACATGCAGACAGTTGCAGTGCTGTGGCTTCACTCTCATCTCCAACTATAGACTCTCTCGGTTGCTCGCTGCACAATGCAGTACAAAGTTAAGCCCCAAAACGTGAATGAATGCAGTGAAACTTCCTCTGAATTAAAGGACATGTTTTGCGGTTGTGCAAACTAAATCACACACAGTACCTTTTACGTTACAGCCCACCATTGTTTTAGGCGTTTCGCTGTAATCTGGCTTCCCCTCTGCAGCCTGCGGCTCCAGTGTTTTTCACTCTGGTCTTTCCTGCTTCTATTTGTGAACAGCACTCGCTCCATTATCCAGAACAATAGACCTTCACTCACAGAATGAAATGGTGCACAAAAGCCGGAGCGCCCAACAGTGATGCAGCCATGAATCCACCCGCTTTCCCTTCAAACTGGGTGGGGGGGAGCACTGTCTAAACTGAAATACTGGGTGACATCACCTGTGTGTGCATCAGTGAAGGCCTGAACCAACACATCCAGGTGCTTTGATACACTCTCACAACTGAGAGTAGATCTTTACTTCCCCTAAGAACAGTTTTCTTCTGACTTTCACACTAAGCTTTATTAGGTAGGGCAACGTTGTAGGCGGACATGGATGTACCTGAACCATGAAAACGAAGTATTTTGAGTGCCTAACTCTATCCTGCAGATGAACCTGGAAGCAAAGAGCATAAAGGTCAGAGTGGGATGTGAATAAGCGTGATAGCCTTCAACTTTGCTCTGCCTAGTTTCCCTCCCTGACACAGGCTTGTGAGTCGTCAGTGGTGGACCACTTTTCCTGAAACACTGATATCTTTTCTAAATCCTGGCTGATGTGAGGTGCGTGACTCTCGAGTTTGGCGGTGTTTTGATTCGCGGTGACTTCCTTGTTGTTGCTAAGCAGCATTCATCTGGCCATTGCTGCAAAGACTAACAGAATTTCCACGATAAATGTGATTTACGTATTTTCTCAATTTACCGAGCATTTCCTCATCTTTGCATTAAACTTGCTAAAACTACAATAACCAACTGCTTTGAATTAATGAGACCTTTAAAACTGCCTGCATATTTCTGGAGTGTTTTTGACACGTTACTAAGCTGAGACCACAACAAAGTACTTAAAAATGTGAAAGTATGAAGTGATTCCAATTAAACTAAAGGGGGGAAATAATCAAATGCAGGGAACGTTGTATTCCATCATGATATCCCCTTTATCTCATGGTGGGGCTGATCTGGCAGTGTGGATGCTTCTCAAACATCCGTGTTCTGCGCTGTGCTCTCTGTACTCTGTGAGACTCTCTGCAGGCATGCAGGGTAAACATACATGTCTGCGTTTGTGCTGCCTGTTTTTATGTGTTCTGTCTGACCCGTGGAGGCTTCGGGCCGTCTCACAGAGCCGTGTTAAATTCTTCAGCCCTGCAGACCCAAACACATGGAAGTCATAGACTGCACAAAAGACAAACTACAGTTTATGTTTTTAACATTTCAAGACAAAAAAAACACACCTTCCATTATTTACAGCTTTTAACTCGGCACATGTTAAAGGCTGACGCGATGTCGAGGTAAATGTGTTTATTCTGTAATAATACAAAGTTTGCAAACAGTATCAGCAAAGGCCTTGAAGTTTTAATACAGAGTAAAAATGCTGAGCCTGCACAGCCACGGTGCATCAGCACCTCTGATGACGTTATCATCAGGTAAATCACCGCAGGTTTTTCCAGAATCCTTCACCTTGCAAAGCCTGATGAATCATGAAATAATTGCCATATAAATTATTTTACTTTATTCCATTCAGCGTTTTGGGGCAATTTATTTAGGAACAAAAATCGTCACACTGATGATGTAGAGGTCTCAAAAACTCATGTCAAATACGTTACAGGGTTAAATGCTTCTCAGTATTTGAATCATTGGAAAATCCAATAAAACGATTGCTTAGACAATTTACAGACGGTTAGATGTGCTAAGCTGTGTTCGGGGTTAAATGATGTCTTTTCATTATGCTGGATACATTTTTATGGTCTTACAGAGCTTCAAAAATGTTTTATGAAGGGAACATTTAACTAACTCGTTCCCAGAAGACAATATCTTGTTCCAGGTGTTCTCATTTCCCACAAGAGGATAACTTCTTTTCACAATACAATTACCCTTAAAAACAAAATCACACCAATACCTCCTGAGAACAAGATAATGAACTTGTTCCTGGAATTCATTTAACTTGTTCAAATGGCGGATAAAAGTTTCTTATCTCCTGTGCACAGCTGGTTCCCAGAAGTAGTTTGATTCCTGCACACGAGTGAAGCTTGAGGTTTAGTTTGTCATCGCTGAAGTCAAGGTTGCTATCATGTGGTTAAAGTTAGGAAACAGAGTCACTGTTTTCATGAGATCCACAAGAAAATATTAAAACACAAAATGCCTCATTTTTCTTACAGAGTTTGAGAAAACAGAACTTTTGAATAAGTGACGATATCAGCTTCAGTTGTTTGAACATGTTACAGAAACCTTTGTGCTTCCTTTCATGTTCATTTAGCTCAACTAGCTGGGTTAGGCTCCTGACCTGAATCAGTGGAAGTAAGATGATGGATGGTTGAATGGATGCGTTGTTTATGGTTTTTATTGTTCCAGTGAATGGACTGGAAAACAATAACCACAGTTGTAAACATAAAAAAACAAATGTGGGCGACACATCCCTGCATGTGTTTTAAAATTGAAAGTGACATGAACTTTGACCTGTAGTTTTTCAGAGGTGATGGAAGGACTTTCTCAAACATATAATTTGCGCAACCTTTAATTAACTGGTTTGGCTGAATTTGTGCTCCAGTTCGCTGACTTTTGTTTTGCGTCCAGGGTCACTGAATTTCCTCATTTCCAGCTCCATATTTTAATGATGGGATCCGTAGAGTAGCTCTATATGACTGAAGGAAGGTTTTGTATAAACATGTGTGTAAAAAGCAGTATTAAACCTTTTAATATGAACTAAACCAATAAGGAGAATGTACAGGTTGTACTCTAACATCCATACTTAGAATGGTGCACTAAGTAGTGCCAGTGTAGCGTAGCATCCTAGCAGTCTAAGTCCAAGTTAGTGTTAGCTTTCTACAGAAGTGACTTTGGTAGAGAACAGACTCTTAAAAACGAACATGTAACAAACATTAGATTAGTAAGAATGTTTTTTGTTTTTTTTTAAAGATTGTTTTTCAATACAAAATAATTTCAAATATTGAAGAATGTGATGCTAGGTGGGACCCAACAGAGTAAAGGTCTTTATAAAAACAAACAAACAACAGCTTTAATTTATTCCTGTCAGTTCATGTTTCTTATTAAGGCAACTGTCTCTGATTGGCTGTCCTTCCCAAAAACACAAGTGTATGGGAGGGACTTAAGATGACCATATTAGGAATATCTACTACTTGGTAACATCATTCCAACAGTAGAAAAAAAACAACTTTGTGAAGCCTGAGCTTTTGTCTCACAAGGTTTACTTCTACATGTGCTCACCTCATTATCTGAAACTTATCTGGTTGTGTTCAAAAACAACATATTACACATATGTCAAGAAAATGATGTAAGGCAGAGCAGGCCCACTTCAAAATCCTAAATACTAACTATTAGGTCTTCTTGGATCTGGCTATGTTATGCTCTATATACAAAATTCATATTTTTGAAAAGAACTAGAAAATTACAGTTAGTCACCTACAAAGAGGTCAAAAACACTCAGTGGTTCCACATCCACTCTTCATCCTGCCCTGAAACGTCTTCATCAGTACAGTCAGAGTTCATCTTATCTCCTTCTACAAACCCCGGGTAACCGTCATCACTTCCTTTCTAAAACTCGTACGGAGACACGAACAGGGTGACCTTGGTGAGGTAGCGGCCCAGCAGGGTGTTGTGCTCCAGCTCGCTCATCTCCACCTCGGCTTCTAGCGTGGCTGGCCCCTTGATGGGCGTCACCAGGAGGAGGGTGCCCGTCTGTCTGCCCGAGCGCTGCACACTAAAGTGGCCCCGGCCGCGACCGCCGGCGAGGCCGAATCGCAGCGTGTCGCCCAGCACGCGAGCGGCAGACACCCGGAAGAGGATGCGTGGGGCGGACATGTTGGACACTACAGAGAGGAAGTGGAAGGAGATGGAGTTTGGTGCCT